GATGAAGTCCAATTTTTTCGTTGTTATGGTTGCTTGTGATTTTGGCGTCATATCTAAGAAGGTTTTGCCTAACCCCAGGTCATAAACATTTACTCTTAGAGTAAATATTTTCTTCTATGAGTTCTATAGTTTCAATGTTTACATTTAGGTGTATGATTCATTTTGAGTTAACTTTTGTAAGTGGTGTAAGAAAAACCATAAGTTCTCAATGAACACCTCCTTTTAGCTGGGAATCTGCTCAGCCACTGTACTTTCAACCCAAACAGCCAACACACAGATGTGAAGGGGACCTCTAACAAGGTATGGATGCTGACAGAATCCACCACCGGGGAGAAGACATCCCTATGTTCCTTTTCATTTAAGTCAGGATCTGATTTTGATTTCAGTCTGAGCACAGGCTGTTGAAAGCACCCATATGTGCCAAGTTGGAACTGACATGTTGAAAGCAACTCTGCTCGGTATGAAAGAGGTTATACAAAACCGAGTTGCCCCATGTAGTAATCAGGTTATAAAAGGGCAGGTCTAAAGAGGCCATCTAATTGGCAAAAGAAAGTCCAGCCCAGCAATTAGAGAACACCACCCACACGGCTTGGACAGACCCCACCTGGCTGTTTTTCTACCCCGTGAAAAAAAATCAAAACAATCAGACCATTTTCTAAATGGAATAAAACATTCCAGCACAAGCAGCAATTAGGAGATAACTACCCTCTTGGATGCTCTCCGCACTCGGCCCCTGGCCCCCTGCCTGCCAGCACACCTGAGACATGCAGTTATCTCACGATCACCCCACACCGGGAGCTGTACCCTGTGACCCTTCTCCTGGCACCCCTCCTCCCCAGTTATCCCCAGAGCCAGCGCAGTCCCCTTGGTCCAGAGAGGCCAGACAACCCGTGAAGTCACGTACTTCTTGGAAAGAACACCAAGCACACCGCCTAGTTTTACCAGCCGGGCCCGCTGGCCGCCCTCCTCTGAGCTCCAGAACTAGGAACTCCAGTGTCCTGCAGCTGGGGAGTCAGGGCCAGGCCTCTGCGTCCTTCCCGGGGTGCACAGGTGGGTGGGGGACAGGCAGCCTGACTGGAGAGCCTGGACGTCAGCAGACAGACAAGCCTTCTACCTCCCCGTTTCTCGGGCAGGAAACAGCAGGCAGAAGTGGTCGGTGACGGGGGAAGAGCCAGCCAAGGCAGAGCTGGGATCTGAGCACAGCGCCCCGACCATTCGAATCTAACACTCTCACCGGTGGGTGTTTCATTGTGCTGAACGGGCAGGGGTTACACAAACCCTGCACTGTTACCTCTGACGCTGGTATTTATCTAGTTACCTGACCTCCCAGCAGAGCCTAGACCACAGGCTCATTAACTCAGTGCTTTTTCTGCTCACTTCTTCTCTCTCTGTGCAGCTCCGTGGAAGTGAGAGCCACGCCAATGACAATCTTCCCACGAAGCTGAGAAGCCCGCCGTCCCTAGCACGGGCCTCTCCCCAGCACGCTGTTGAGCAGATTTTCCACCTGAAGGGGGATGTTCCACTCAGCTCATGCCCAAACGCTAAGGTACTGACCCGGGGAGGCTGGCGGGTGGGGAACGAGGAAGCAGAGACACCCAGGGCGGCCTTCTCCCGCCTCCCTGAAACCTGCAGAATTCATTTTTGGGTTCTTTCTCCTGGCCTCCAGAAGTTGAGACTTTTCTGGAGACATCAATTTTGTGGAGAGGTAAATAATGTTAAAATAAAATAATAATGAGAAGAGTAACAGCTAACCTTTCTTGGCCCTGAGTCCTGCAGGGACTGGCTCAGTTACCGCATCCACATCCCTAATCAGGTGTCCATTAGGCACGTACTGACAAGGAAACAGGCACCCAGAGGTTAGGTAACCTGCCCACGATGACACAGAGCAACCGGTAGCAGTTTCACAGAAGCGGGACGAGCGGGAGACTTTCTGTGCAAAGGATGCCGGCGTGCGAGGTGAGTGGCCCACCCAGCTCTGTGACTGGGAGGGGAGGGTGTGGTCCATCTGGACCCTGGTACTTCAGAGCTGAAAAGTAACCCCAAGTGATGGGGAACTTCGGTCCACTGCAAAGCCCTGTGGACCCTACTGGAACCCCAGGCAAGCAGAAACTGAAGGAGGGTTCAAGTCCCATCGAACGCATGCGGTCCCATTTACCCAGCCTGCTGTGGGTCACAGGTGCTGACCGGAAAAGCCCAGTCCGAGGTGCTCTCTAGGTCTGCAGCGCTGTCCCTGGCAGCCGGGTGAATAGCTCCGCGACTCAAGTGCTAATCTTTTTCCAGTTCCAGTGAGGTTACTTGCCTGGAGACCTCTTTATTACCCAATTATCGTCTTCTTTTCCTCCCTACTTCCCCAAAGAGATGGCCCTGAAGGAGCTTTACCAGGGAAAACGTGCAGCAAGCGGGACCCCAACAGGGCCGTGCGGCTCTGGGGAGGTCAGAATGGGACCCCAACCCGAGGCACTTCGCTCTTATTTTCGCTGCAGCCATTCTGAGGTCCTCCCAGAGCCCCACATACTTCTGTACCTTCCTCCTGCCTGTGACACCCTTGCCACCTTCACCTGGCACATGTCTGTTCACCTGCTAAACCCAATTTACATGGCACCTCTTCTGGGAAGCCCTCCCTTCTCTACACTGATCCAGAGCCTCATAAGTCCTTCCACAGTTGCCCTGATCACTGTAGAATTACTGGTTCACAGGTCTGTCTCCACACTGGACTGAGTACTTTGATTTTTATTTTTTAACAGATGGGTTTGTGTCTTATTGTATTGCCATTGCTTGGTGAGAGTGAGTGCTCACCAGACAAGGTGAGGCGGACTCTTGTTTCCCAAAGGGGCCCGCGTGCGGCTGGCCGGTGGAACGCTCTCAGAGTGAAGCCTGCAACGTTACCTCCATTTTGTCTCCCATGACACTGAGAGCCGTGGGTCCCGGCCCTCGGCTGCGCCCGCGGCGCCGAGGCTGGTGGAAAACAAGTGGCGTCAGCGGCAGAGGCGCACGTGCCCCCCGGGGCCCTGGGCGGTGCTGGCAGAGACTGCAGGCTGTCGGCTCGCTCATCACCTGACTCATGAAAAGATCGCTGATAACCAATTTAAACAATGCCTCTGCCGCTCGGGAGACATCGATTTCCACGACGATGAGTGACGAGGAAGGAGGTGGGTGGTGAAAGATGCACAGAAAGCGGTGAAGAGACTTGCCCAAAACCAGCTGGGAGGGGCAGGCCTGGGAACGCTGCCCAGTGCTTCCAGCTCCCGAAGCTGGTTCTTTTCGACATCAGCCCCCCGAAAGGCCCACGGGCGTCTTAGCATTCTAGGCATTTGGGAGCGACGATGCATTGAACTGAATCTTATTTACACTTCAGCTTCTCCCTGCAGCCTTTCCTGATACCTCTCCTCCGAGCTCTCACAGGGTTCCGTCTATAAGCAGAGAACCAGCGCTCAACTACAGTGTGCTCCCCAGCTGCCTCCTGGACCTCGGTTCTCCAACCAGATCCATGGAGACAGGGTTATATGTTGTTCCGTTACTTCCTACGGTGCCCAGGACCATGCATGGTTCTCAGAGACACTGAGTACGTATCTGCTGATGTGTGCGCCGTTTGTGTGTCTGTACATGTGCCGGCACCGCCACCTCACCGGGAGCATGTTCACGGGCCAGGCCGCCTCTCTCCCAAAACCCTTCCATCTCAGGGGCAGGTACCTGCCCCCTCCACCGAGGGAATTAGCAGATTTGCCCAGGAACTTTTTTCTGGGAATGTAATCACTGCCGCCTTGATGGCTTTCTTCTAATCTCCCCATTACTATGCATTTGTAATCTGTTTATTTTTCTCATTCCTAGGAGGCAATATAGCAAGAACTAAAGTTTTCAGGAAAAATTATTGGCCAAAAACACAAAATTGAGAAAATGCCTCAAAATCTGTTATCAAAAAATACTTTTTTTTCCCTGAAAACTAGGTGGTGGAGGGACCTTAGTTTTTTGGTAATTGTGAAAAAAAAAAAAAAGCCATATTCCAGCCCTTGAGACACTGGGGAACATGGCTTGTGACCAGATGGCTTAGCAGATCAGAAGTCACCCAGGTAGGCCCGCACCGCCCGGTCCTCGTGAGGGGAGGGCGGGCCTGTGGGGCTCCGCGGGGAGGCGGAGAGGCCTGGGTGCCAGCCCACGGTGCACTTGGTCTCCAAAGAATAAGAGCAAGGCTTCTTCCCAGCCTCCTCCCAACCCTCCTTTTTCCTCTGGGCTTTGACCTTATCCCCTGGGGTTTACAAAACTGGAGGTGAAACTCAATTACTTCGAAAAATTTGGATTTAACTGTACTTTTCAAAAAAAGAGGGGTGGTAAACCATTATGAACTAGAGTTCCTCAAAACCTAGAGATGCTTATTTTTTTAGAGCCGTTTACTCTAAAAAGTTCATTAAAAAAGCAAATGTGGAACAATTAATCAACGAGGCACGTGAACAGTATTAGGGAAACCCGTCATTGTACCACGTGCGTCAGAGGAACCTGGGGGCTGGTTAACACGTCCTGTCCTGTGACAGGGAACCAGAATCCTGGGAGAGGCCCGGAGTTCTGCCTTTGTACCTGCTACCCAGGTTACTCTGATGCCCCCTAGTTTGAGAATCACTGCATTAGGGGACACACAGCTGTGCCCGGTATGTCCCACAAACAAAGAGTACTGACTTCTATTCTTAGCTGTGTGTGGGAAGTGGAAGGAAGTTCTTTGAAAGGGCGAGCAGGTGGGGTTAAAACCAGCCACTGAGGAGCCTGGGGGCTCTTTTTCTTTTATTTCTGATGGAACTGTGGAAAAGAACATCCCTCTGGCCAGGAGGAATGGCTTATCCTTTTGTTCAGACAGCTTCTCTCTCAGCATCTTAAAAGGCCCTCCAGTCTCTGGAGCTCAAACCACCAGAGGGTCCTCCCTGCCTTCCCACCAGCTCTGCTGTAAGAATTCTTCCCGTCACACTGGGCCCCTGGGAAGACTTCCTCTCTTTCTTACCATTTTCTTCCACTTCATCCTGCGGTTCTGATACCAGGTCTTCACCTGCAGTTGAGTGAGTCCCAGAGACTGGGCCAAGTCCAACCTGGAAGGCACGAGACGTAGAGGGAGGATGAGGCAGATGGGAAGGGCGGTGGAGACGGGGTCCCGCTGACGAGCCCCAGGCTCCGCTCCAGAGCGAGGGCCTCCCCTTTAAACCCGTTCCTCCCCGGGGAGCTCTGCTTTCCTTCCGAGAATCCTGTGGATGAAACTCTGGGAGGCTAAGAAGCAGGTGCCCACGCCCAAGGGCTGGCCACACTGGACCTGAAAAGGATTTGAGCCTTCACTGCCGAGTCCTCTTCCTGATCCCCAGCCTCTTTACTCTGATCCTATGCATACTGTGACCCAAGATCCAAACTGAGGAGGAAAGGTAAAGCCTTATTTTCCTCATCAGGATCCCACTCATCACTTAGATCTGACTCAAGCACCTGCTTCCTGTGGGCGACCCCCCAATGCAGGTTGCCTCCACCACGCGGGTCAGCGGCTCCATGTTCTCAGGAGCGAGGTCTCTGCTTCACCCCAGTTACTTCTGCCTCCCAGCTCAGCGGCCAGAGCGGGGGGTGCCTTCTGCTTCTGCTGCAATCACGAGAGCGCCTAGCTCAGTCTAAATCCAGAACAAGGGCCCCAAAATACCTCCCGGCAGAGTGATGCGGCCACTGTGGCTGCCCGCACCTGCCATAATGCCAGATTCCGGAAGAAACACTGCATCGTAGCAGCCCCTGCTGCTTCCCAGTGCTGCGTTTCTCCGTAGCCTCCCAACAAGCCCCGAGTGTCGGAGCCGTCCCGGGAAGCGTGCAGCTGGAGCACGGTCCAGCAACGCTGTTTCCCGAGCCCCGCCGCATCCCGGGCTGTGTGCTCTGCCCCTGGCACGCGCCCCCTCACGTGTCCCTTTCTTAGCCATTCCTTCCGGCTGTGAAGGAGGTGCCATCACTCCCGTCTTACAGACGAGAGTCTGGGGCTCAGGCTCCCGTCTCCTGGCAACCGTGGCCAAACCCTGTCCACTACCTGCTTCTGTAAATAAAGCTTTACTGGCACACAGACCCGCTCCCGCGTTTCCACACTGTCTCTGGCCGCTTTCACGCTACGGCCTCAGAGTTGAGCGGCGGTGACAGGCCATTTGGCCCCAGACCCTGCGCAGTGACCCTCTGGCCCTGCACAGGAGACTGGCAGGTCGGCCTAGAGGAAGAGGCAGAGGCGGGATTCAGGTCTGCCCGAGCCCCTCCTCCCGCACAGGGGCTCATGCCTCTCACGGTATTTTGTACAAGTTGGAGCTATCGAAGGGACGCCCTTGCTCAGGCTCTTGCGGAGAAAATTTGGGGATGCCACCTCCCGGGGAGCAGCAGACAGCCTGAGCGGAGCACGTGGAGTGGGAGGGGAACCAGGCTTCCCACCTCAGGCCCCGGGGCTGTTGCTCCAGGTGCTGACCTGTGTTCATGGGTAAGCGCTCCAGGTCTACCGAGCGCCAGCTGCACGGACCCCCCCACCCCCGTCACTGGAAGGAGCCCACACCAGCTGCCTCCTCGCGTCCCAGCCCTGGGCCCTGCAGCAGCGTGGACCTGCCACACAGCAGCTTGGGATGAGCACCCCTGACGCAGCCTGAGCGGCGACTACCACTTCTGGAGGCCCCCAGGCCATCCGAGGAGCAGCGAGCAACCTGTCACGGCCAGGAAGGCCAGCCGGTGCAGGCAGCGAAGGTTCCAGGTGCTGTAACTCTCCGCCCTCCAGCTGCAGCTGCCCAGCCCCCCACCCCCACCCCGCTTTGACTGGAGTGCCCAATTAAAGTCTCCAATAAGAGAAACCGAGTTTTCCTTCAAGGAACTTCGGAACCTGGCTTAAATCTGCATTCACACACACGTGGTCGTCCCAGCAAGAGGGCTACTGGAAGCTGACAGTTTTACTGAAAGTGATGAGCAGGTTGAAGCTAATAAATCCCCAGTGCACGGCCGCTTACTCTCCCCACGAACAGGGGCGCCCACTGCATGGGGGCGGGGAGGGGGCATCCCACGGACTCCTGGTCTCCCAGGCCTCCCTGGACTCGGGCACTCCGCAGGCTCTCCTGTGCCCTCCCGCCCAGTTCACCTGAGGCCATCAGGTGCATTAGTCAGTGGAAGGTTCGGTGCACAACTCTGCACACAGGGTGAGCTCACTTGGGAAAAATGCGCCCCTGACTCACTCTGGCTACAGAAACAGGCCTCCCTGTCATCAGTTTTCTCTCATTACCTGCCACCGTTACAAATTCTCACTTCCCTGCATATTCGCTTAAACAGGGTCACCTAGGAGACCGGGAAACAAACAGAAGGGAAGAGGGAGGGAGCTGTGGGAGGAGGGAGTGCTCATGGCCCCGGTCACGTACAGGGTGAGGAGCAGCTGAGCGCGCCCATGCCAGCCAGATGGTGTCCTCCTCCCCAGGCGAGTGAATCAAGCCTGCGTGGGTCACCTGAGAGGTGCCCGGGCAGGTATTCGGAAGCCCCACGGGGGGTTACTTGGAACGCACGTTTCTGTGAAAGTCTCCGACTCCTAAAGTGAGCCTGCAGTGCCCCCTGAGCATGCCGAAGCCCTCTCCGCACCGCCACCACGCGACTCGTGAACCAGGGTGCCCACTCCACCTGGGCGCCCAGCACGTGGGGCTCTCCGGTACAGGCCGGGCCTTCAGAAGAGCCATCTGATTCCTAAGAGCTCATCAATTGGTCCCCAGTTCACAGACCTGTCTCCACAGGAGGGGCGGAGGGGGCACCCGAGAGCCTGAAGGCACCCCAGATGGCTCACTTCCAAACAGAAGGCACTGTTGCCCCACCAAACCTGCTCTATCCTCAGCCTCTGTTAGTGCTTGTCCCCATTTACCTGGTGGCTCATCCAAGAACCAGAATCCTCAACTCTCGTCTCTTCCTCACGCCGACGTCAGCTCTATTCCGTTTTCAAAACTGTTCTCCCATCTCCTCTCTCCTCTCTGCTCCCATGTCACCATCTTCACTCCGGTCTCCAGAGACGCTGCCTGGACTCTCTCCTACCTGGACTCCCTGCTCCACCTCTCCCCTCTGTGATCAGTCATTTATGGTGCCACCAATGCGAGGATTCTCAAATGTAAATCACGTTGCTTCTGGCTCTTAATGGCTGCTGACCATTTGCTAAACTTCACCTCGCTTGTCGTTAACTTAAAATATGGAGACACAGGAGTACAAATTCAGCAGCGGGCGTGTCCCCGGGGCTAGGCGTGCTGCATTCCCGCAGGTGGGCGGCAAGGCTGAGATGACCTGAGCCAAGGGCGGAGCCAAGGGGTGTTCGCATCTCTAAACCCCTGAAACCCTCCTCGTGGCTCTCTGTCCCACTCCGAGAGCAAAAGGAGCCCCCACCGCACCTGTGGACAGTCCCCTCCCCGCGTCCGCACCTGTCTGGGGTGGACAAGTACTTCTGCTTCTGGAACTTCTTCTCCAGGCCCATGAGCTGCAGCTCGGTGAAGATGGTGCGGCTCCGGCGAGGCTTCTTCTGCCGGGGCGTGGGCTGCTCTGCCTCCGACTCGCTGCTGCCCACATTCTCGCCGGGGGCCTCCGCGGAGGCGGCCTCAGCGGCCGGGTGGCGGGACAGAGCCTGGGCGATTCCGGGGGCGGCGGGGACCAGGTGGGAGATGACTGTGGGCTGCCGGGTGATCACTGACAGCAGAGGGTATGCCCGAAGGGAAGCAGGGCCTGGAAGACAACAAACAGGGAGCAGGTCACCCGGGAGCAGGCGGGCAAGGAGGCCAGGGTGCTAGAGGCCCCGTGCTGAGACCTGCCAGACTGGCGGGGCCTCCTGTTCACAAGGTGTACGTAGAGGAACGGGAAGAAGGAACCCCAGACCCATGACGGCCAGGTGGGCAAGACATGTGCAGATCTGCTCAGCTTGGGGTGCGAGAACATTCAAAATCCCACGGCCAAGAAGAGAGTCCTGCAGTTCTTCTGTTGTTTTGGTTTTTAAAATTTTTTAAACACTTTTTTATTGAGTTATA